AAGACATAATTGAATCCATTAGTGGTCGAAGTGGTGGTCGACTCCACACCACTTCCATTGCGGTCGTTGTTCTTGTCGTTCAAAGCGTTCACATCTGAAACACATCGAGTGTCACAAGCATTGCATCCATTCATGTGATACTCACCGAAACTGGTGTTCATTTTGGTCGCCAAATGCAAGAACTCATCAAAAAATATGTAAACAATTAATTAATTATTTGTTTTTAAAATATAACTCAAAAGCGGTTTTCAAATGAAATAATGGCTGAAAATAAACGAATCAATGATTGCTTCAAATCATAACAACATTTCGTATACAAAACGTCTGATAATTGCTTACAAAACACAACACTCTGTCAATGCTTTCAAACCAATAGTTATGTCATAAATGTTGACATTATTGATGTCGAGTCAACAGCCCTTTAGTTGACGTCAATGTCTGGTTTGTGCAGTCGATACAGTCTATTACTGATATCAATTATAATTATTATATCAGACACATGTAATACTACAAAAGTATACTGTAATTGTAATATTGTAATTCAGTTCCCATACTATGCAACCTCTCTATAAGAAACGGACAGTTGCACTCAAAAGTTGCACTAACGTTGTAGGTATAGTGTACTGTACAGTAGGAAACCCGTAATATATCTCCAAATATTATAGTTGCTTATAGAGAGGTATTTCATTAAGAGGAATATTCTGTGAAGAGATTTAATAATTATTTTGTCTCAAGTAATCATATAGATAATAATTAATGATTACATGCTCAAATTATATACTATTATTGGTATAATAACATAACGGTAAACAACTTAATAACTATATATTTAATTCAATTTGGGAAATCGGAAAGAATCAAGCTAGAAATAAACTCAATTCATAAGCATATCATATCATAATTAATTGGCATAAAATTGTTATACCAATTATAGCTGTAATTAAAAGTTTTAATTTGAAACTTATTTATTTTAAATCATTGTGAATTACCAATTCCTACAAACTTTACTCAAATCTAAGTTCCAACGATTAATTATTCTAGATTTACATACCGGTATTGTATCGGTAGCTAGGAATTGGTAACTAATGCTATGCATTACCAATCATATACTGTAACAGCATTTATAAGCCGTTACCGCTTTAATATAACCACAAATTATGTTCAATCAATGTCTCAACTATTGATCAAATTGTGTGCAATGTATTGTCCTATATTGTACTCTACTGTAGAATATTCACAATGAATACATTTAGCGCACTAAACAAATTGGGTACTTGTATAGTGTGTTCGTATTATAGATTTATAGAGTAAATCATTGATTATGTTGTGTTACTATGAAATTCCTCACACAATACTCGTAACCACGATATCATAGTGTCGTACAAATGGAACGAATGGTTCATTTGTCCAAATCTTGTTAACAATATTGTTAATCAATATTTGACGCAAATTCTTACCTTATGTTGAAATATACAAAAATGTGGTCAAATAAACGATTATATACTTAAAGATTTGGTCCAATTTGCGAACCATTCATCAAAAAACATTGAGAATACAATTCAAATTTGAATATAATTTTGTTTAAGTTATACACAAATTGTGATTACAATAAAAATTATTTACATAAAGCTTTCAAATTGAATAAATTATCCTAAAAGACATGTAATATGTCTTTGGTTTCAGTCGTCTGTTTCATAACTAAATTCATACAATAAAATGTTAATTCAATTCAATTTAGACCAAAAATTGTTTTCAAAAAAGAAAGTTATATAAAGAAATCGTTATTCAAAGAGTTATTTTGAAAAATGAACTCAAAATAAAACGGCTGAATATGAGCTAAAAATATTGTCTTCATGTCTGACTGTTTGGGTCCAGAGAATTGTCTTCTTTTGATTCGTCACCCGAAGAGTGTTTGTCGCCATTTGTACGTTCAATACTCGATGGACTCGTGTTGGCCGAGTGGTTGTCTCTCTCCTCCTCTTCCTTCTCAATCATATCCATGTCTTCTCTCTCCTCGTCTCTCAACTCCTGATCTTCGATATCGCCATCATTTGTGTGATTCTCTTCGGACTTGTATTCATCCGACTCTTTATTATTGTTATTATTATTACTGTTATTATTAGTACTTTTGCTACTCTTATCGTGATGTCTGTGTTCGTGACCTTTGCGTGACTTTGAGCGTGAATTTGATTGAGAGCGCGAACGAGATCTGCTGTGAGAGTGATGTCTATGTCTATGAGAGCGATGTGGAGAACGGCTCCGACTGCGCGACCGATGGCCCGAACGCCTAATATATGGTTGCATTCAATACAAACATAACAACAAAATATAGCTATAAATGGCATACCGTTTGGAAGTGCGGTCTCGCGATCGAGATCTTCGTCTGCGATCGTCTCTTCGCGAAGGCTGTCGTCGACTACTGGCGCCACTCCTGAAGGGAGGGCCGCGCTCTTTGACTCGCATTTCTGACGGCGCTTTAGTTTAAACACAAACTCATCGTTAATATCTTTGAGTTAGTCTTTCATGTCTTTAATTCAAACAAACTTTTTCTGTCTCCCTGTGCGAACTCAACCTCCAGTTCCCGTCCAAACAGTCGAACCCTATCTAAGTTATGCACCGCTTCTTCCGCTGCTCTCAACTCATCGAATGTGTTATAAGAAGACAAGAGTTAAGGAAATCATTGGGAAATGCAATTCAATTATACAAATAGTGGACCAAAATGTATGGTCAGACCTATCGATCCATTTTTTGCTCAAAAATCAGCTCAATGTCAGAAAATAAGCAAAAATGTCATCATTTCATACAAATTCATAATAAATATAACATAAATAAGAGTTAAATATATGAATGAAAAGCAAGGATATTGAACGTATGCGAAACCCCGCGGGCGGTGTGTGTAGTAGTCGTGTGGTATATAAACATCAGTCACGTGTCCGTAATCGCCAAACAGGTTCCGCAAATCCTCGGATCTGTTCATTACATCAACCAAACAATTAGACATTCATTAAACGACTATTCAATCAAATCAATGGCTATTCAATGGCAGGCATTATAGCGCATGTATGGCACCGGTCGCCCAATGGGTTGGCTGTGCCGTGGATGAGGTGGTGGTGATGGTAGTGGTAATTGCAATTGTAACTGTAGTGGTAACTGTACCTGGTCACTTCGGCCACATTGCGGATGAATAGCGACCGATTGGATGGACCGAAAGAACGGGGCATTTGATTGAACAACAAATCACATCTAAAAGCACTCAACAATTGGTGACAATGTTTGACCACTTCTTCACGTCTTCAACACGTCTTCGCTTTTGGCCGACAAAGCGTTCAATCGTTTCACACAAACACTGATTGAGTGCTTGTATTGAATCAAATTATAATTAAATGAAAACTAAATATTAAATTACAGACAAAAAAGCTGTGAAAATGTGTTGTGTTTTGAGAAAAACGTTTTCTACCAAAAAATATATTCGTTTTTCGCATTAATAATGTCTTAAAAATATTGCAATTTTTATTTGTTGCGCAAAAATATCTCGTTTTTGGTCTCATTTGTCGCCATTTAATGCATAAATGTTTAACATTTGTGTAATTATTGTATTAATCGTCGATTAAAAGCGAATCCATTGAATGAAATGACGGACAAAGTGTGCGGATGTGTTGGAAGCGATGTCTTCAGCCAATGATGACGTAATTTGTGTCTAAAAGGAATGTATTGTTGGGTTTAAGGAGTGAGTGATTGGTTGAGAGTTTGGACTAAATATATGTGAAAACAAAGTATGTGTCGGTATTTGGCAATCAATTGCACCCAAACTCTAGCCATTGAGCGCTAATAACACACGACTCTTACAATCCCTTTGCGGTCGTTATTAATGATGTGTTGTCTCTACGGCTGAGCCTATGATTTGGTGGCCTTTCGCTGTATTACAGTGTAATGAATGGCTTTGATGTGTAAACAAACCATTACTTGACGATTGCATAACTCATACACACTATAAGACTGACAGCGAAGATATGGCCGAAGATATGGCGGCGAAGAGTGAGACAATGGATGCGAACGTGGAGTTAGAGTGGATTG